ATGGTCAAATACGAATATCGTTTCGATAGCTGGATCGTATGTGCCCTGTGACCCTAGGATAGACCCCTTTTACCGTGCATTGGGCGGTGGCGTCTAACGCAAAGAGTCAACCACTGTACGGTTTTTTAATAACTGAATCTCAGAATCATCTTCTTTACACCATTGATGGTTTTCTGGGTCACTGCTTGTCAGTTGTGTACGCGGGGACTNCTCCGGTGGGTAACAGCTTTAATGGATTTGTATTATAAACTTTAATACAGTGGACAGCATAAGGGAAGAGGATCTACTTTTTGTCACGAGGTTTCTTGTCCCAGAAGTCGTTCAACATACTTTCAAACAAACTTCTGAAATATATAATACTACATAAAATACTGTTTGGTCGGCAAACCATATTTACTTTGCCCCTACTTTTCTGTAGTTCATCTAGTATGCATGATTTGAACGGCGTGCTACACCGTTGAACTCTGGCGCTGCCTTTCCATGAATGGTGTGAGTGGTGAAGTTAATTTCAATAATACAACCCTTTATACTAATAGCCGAAGTCGAGTCCCAGCGTACGACGCTTTTTCTCCCGAGTTAATCGTGGAAAGTGGTGTTCGTCAGGATTGCCCTCACCTTTTCTGTCTAACTATGTTACATATTTGATTGTGGAAACAGTTCTATCCTCGTGCGAGGTTAGCGGCATTGATTCGCTCGCAGGTGATAGACTGTCTGATCTGGAGTATGCAGGTGACATTTTGTAGCTAAGTGAAGATCCAGTTGCAAGCTTTTCTGGATAGCTTGCGTACTAGCGTAGTCTTAGTTGGTATGCGTTTTGCACCTTCAAAATGTAAAATTTTGCTTCAAGACTGGGTTGGTCGAACTCCCAACCTCACTATAACTGGGGAAGTAATAGAGCAGGTGGATAGGTTTTGTTATTTGGGCAACTATATCTCATCTGGTGGATGCATCACGGATGAAGTGTCGGTTTGCACACAGAACGCTCGATTGATGTTTGCCAACTTGATACATGTGTCGCCGCCGCGACATCCGGCTATTCCTGAAGGGCCGAGTGTATGCTGCGCCAGTTCTGATGTACAGCGTAGAAACTTTGATAATAAAAAGTAGGATAAAGATGGACTGTCGGTGTTTGGGCATTGCTGTCTACGCAGCATTCCACTAGTGTGATGCAACCGAATACGCAACGCTGAATTTAGGCGCGGAAGTTTAGGTATTCGTGGTCGTCCACTGGAGCAAGTGGTCGGCTCCGTAGGTTACGTTGGTTGGAGCATGTGTTACGCATTTCACCAAATAGGTTTTCCTCAGCGCGCTATTTGCGGAGGTAGGTTTGGGTAGAACAAAGCCAAGGGTGGTCAAAATAAGACCTAGGATGAGAGTATGAAGGCCCTGATCAAGCGACCCAGTCACATAGGTCGCGTTAGGCTCCCTGGCTGGGAACCTCGGGATGATCGTACCCGTTGGTTAGAGACACTAAATGATATGGCTGAATGTTGTTAACGGTGGCGTTCATGCATCCTCTCAATTTTCTTGGAACTTTATTCCACTGAAATTCTCCATTTTCTATTCTACTCTACTTTCAGCTTTTCTGTCTTTCTCCTATTGCTTCATCCAAATACACAACCAGAAGACAGTAACCAAAACCGGCGCACGAAAGCGCATGGTTAATGGTTGTACCAACTAAATCTGAAATCCTATACTGAAGTTGTAGAAATTGAGGTTCAGTCAGAAAGGGTACAATTGCATTCAGGTATGATGTCGTTCAATTACAGGTGGACCATCTGGTATCCCATTTTATCTGTCCAAGCCCATGTATTCACCATGACAAAATCACCGAGAGGGAGTTTTGATCGTTCATAAAGTCCTGGTATCACGGAACATTGAGGCTGCATCCGTCTTCTTAAGCTCATTATCAACTGGTGTCCGTTATTTATCTCGTAAACTTTTTATGTTTTTTGTTCTATGGTTGCTTCATTTCGACCACTAGACACGAATGGATGAACATGTTTTGGCTAAATTTATTTTATTTCTATAAGATATTTGACTTACCCGGAGATCTTTGTCGATCTTCTGTGGCTGTCCGAAGTGCACTGACATTCTGATATTCATGAAGCTGTTATCAATGGAGGGCATCAATTCGATTAGGGTAATGTAGACACTGTCGATCAAGCAGGAGCCCACCATTCTCTGAAAGTTTATGAGAAAATATACGCGTCTCCGAAAAGATGTATGAAGTGGTTACAGGGCGAACCAAAACAAATTTACAATCTTGACTGAAATCTGAATGCAATGCCCCTTTGCACTTGACTTTATCACACATATTTGTGTGATGGACAACAGACAGGGTGAACCCCATTGTAGCGAAGACTTGTTCTTCAATGATGGAAACCGACAACCTAAGCCCCGAGGTTGCAGTGGTCACCTACATAAGGCTCCACTAGATTAGGTTTGGTTTTGTACTGGACGATAGCAAAGCTGCCTACCACCAGAGTTGATTTGCCGCGGCGGGGCTCCAACCTTAAAAGATTGGTTCCAAAACACGTCAGTGATAGCGCCCGAACCACTGTGCTACTACTACTACTAGTTATTTAAATAAAATGCTTCATTAGAAGTTCTGCTGTTTCCGTTAGTTCTCCAACTGGACAGTAGATTTGGAAAGCAGACCACCTCGATCGTATATTACTTTAACTACAGATTTTCACCTTCATTTATGCTAAATCACATGCACAATTAACGGATTTTCTTGAGCAATTCTTTTCCCCATAAATCTGTTTTTGTCTGTCCCGCACAGATTGTCTACCGTAAACCGGAACCCTCGGACGATCTGCACAATCACGCACGTGTCACAGTCACAAAACACTCGAACTCGCAGCCTGTCGTACTAGCCCGACTTCGACTGGGCGAATTCGAGCGTTTGTCTTTGGAAGACCGATTGGATATGCTTATCCAACTACGGATCGGCAAGCAGTCGT